ATTTATTTAATTTTCTTAAGTCATCCTTAATTTTCACTCCCATCAGCATTCTAATTAGATACTTTACTGTGTATGTGTTATGTAAATAAAAATACGTAAAAAATCAGGTTTTAATTTAAACAAACTTTATGGTTGTAAACAGTTGATATTTACTTTTTCGAAGTCTCCGCAGACTTTTGTTATATACTCATTTTTATTTTTAGGCTGTTGACCTACTTAACTCAGGTAAACTCTAAAGTGTACTGTGCAAAATTGTGGAACCGCTCTTACGTGTTTGTTGGCTTATAACTCTGAGCAGGCCTACAAGTTTGTCAATCTGCACAGAGTTTAATTAACTGTTAGGCATATTCATACGTTTTTTCTACAGGTTCTAAGCATATTCATACACACCCACTTTCATTTGCACATACTTGTTTACACATATTTTGTAGATATCTGTTGACCTCTTTTCATTAACCAAACCTGGTGTTATTATTCCCACAGATACTTTACTTTGACGAAATTTTTTTTTCTCAAATTTTTTAAGTTTACTCTTGTGTCACCTTTGAACATCTGTAAATAATATATATACCATAACAGATACTTTTACATTAATTATTAACACAGCAAGCACTTCAGCTACTTTGTTTTCTCATTTCATTGTAACTTGATATTAAAACTACATGTAATTACTTGAAAATTGCTATAATCACTTTCGTTCGGAGAAATTTAATTCAATTCCGAGAACGCTACTGCTATCATTAAACAAAATCTATAAAAATCTGGAATGAGATACTATTTCGCATGCGAGTATATTTCAGTTTAAAGTTATTTGAATAAATATCTCAGATTCAATTAATTATAAAATAATACGTTCAATTAGTATTAACTATATTAATTGTGAACTTACACATTAATTTGTGATCATTTATTTAAATTAAATCAATTTAATAATTTACCACATTGAGGGTAAAAAATATTTATTCCAACATCCATCTAATTGGTTAATTGACTGAAAGGTTAAAGACTAAAAGTACTGCATTCTAAGTGACTTTTACTTTCTTTCAAAAAGAAAGCATTGAATATATGTTTAATGATAGGACGTCATATAGTATTAACCAGTGTATAAATTTTAACATTGATTATCTAAGCCACGCACCAGATGGCGCGTTTACTTATTGAGGTTTTCATGTAAATATTTATTTCTTTCTGAATTAAAATTAATTTTGAAGCTAACTAAGAATAAGGCGCTGAACCATTACGTCCTTCGCCCTTCATACATATTCAACTTTAAAGCCTGATATCACAAAAACGGAACTATATTGATATACAGCACATAAATTGTTGAAATCATCTCAAAAAATTCGAATTACAAACGAGTGCCAGTACTGCACCGTTTCTAAAACCAATATCAACCTTTACTGTTGATAAGTACTATTCATTAATATTATAAATTTTTTATTGAACACTTATAACGGGTACTTTTATTTTTCGATTGTTTTTTAACTAATTTTTTCTGGTAATGTTTTTACATTGAAAATGTAAATACAGAATTTTCTTACAAAAATGTTAATATCAAAAGTATTGAACAAAAGTAACTCACACAAATATTTTCTTAGTTTTGTATTCTTTGCTTTTAGTGCAGTTTATAGCACTTTTTGCTTACCATAGTTTTATTCCGTGTTTAATTCTAACATTTTAGTGCTGTAAGCTGATATTTGTACTATGTTTACTCGTGTCTTTTTTCTTCTTATATTTGTACGCAAATCACTTGAACTTGGGTTATCTGATTTTTTTTATTGTAGTATGTTCACTATTTCAACGATATCATGATCTAACTCGTTATGTATCCCAACAGTTTCAGGAGTCCAGTAAGCAGAAGGTGTACTTTGTACCATGTATAATGGAATGTAATAGTGACAAATTATGATATATGGTTACATATGTGTGAGAGTACGATATAAGGATGAGCAATACTTGTTCATTATTACGTGAGCGAATTTTACACACAATACTTGCTATCAATGAAAATTCCCTATTTTAAAATTTGCAAAGCAAGTATTGTTTTTCACATGATCTATCTCATCTAACATCAATATTATAGTTTTTCAACATATAACATTGAATATAATAAGCATTTATAAATCGTAGCAAATTCATTTGTTATGTTCATTGATGTGATATCATTGATGATATGGACTATAGGGTCTAAGTGAATTGGTCAATAGATAGACCGCCACATTAACCTAGCTAACCTATGTTTGTAGATCAATTTTTTTTTTTTTGGATATATATGCTAATGAAATAAATTTTTTCTTTTTGTTTTAATGTATATGTTAATTATTAAAATGTAAACAGTAATTTGTTTTAAACGGATCGAAGTGTATCAACTAATTTTGATTTTATTCGTAGTAATTTTTCAAGTACTCTACTATTTCATCCCATACACTACGTATTACTCAAAAACGTATAAAATTATAATGAAAGTATCTTAATTTTAATTCAGTTTTAAACAAATCTAAATGCGTATGCGGCAAACTTATCACATATTAGCAAATATGTTCTTTGCAAATATTTAACAAAATATTTTATACAATATATTGTATTGTATGTGTAGGCAATGCTATATGCAAAGTTAGTTGACAAATTGTTTACAATGCAAATAATATTTTAAACACATTTTAAATTTTAATAATAATTTAAATAACTGCGAAATAAGCGATAATAAAAATTTTAGTGACTTCTTATTACTGACAGAAAAGTACATCGTGTAAATCAGTTGATAAAACGATGACAAACTCAACAAAAATTAAATGTGATTTCTAGTGCAAATTTTGAAATTTTATGAAAAACAGGCCTTACATATATATATGTATATAGTATATTAAGAATATTAAGTAAGCTTCATTGGAATGTAAAATAATCAAAAATTTATTGTTAACAGTTGTTTAAGTAGTTCGGATAGTTTGCTTAGTTTGCTTTCCAGTTGAATGGTGAGTAAGAAATATTGGCAAGTGTCTTTAATCTTTATACTTAATAATTTAATTACTTCTAAAAGCTGGATTCCTCACAAGTTTATCTATAGTTCACACTGCACACATCTAAAAAACTGATTTCAATATACTACTATCTACTTTAAATAATTTTGATAAATAAACATACTAGACTCTATGACTAAGGATTAATATCACTCTGCCTACGTTAGTTATTACAAATCATTGTTTGTTAGATATGTTTGATATGCTTGTGTGGATGCTGTACAGATAAGAGCATGAAGAAAATATTAATTGAGTCATGATTTAGTTCTTCACAGATAAAGAGTTAACTCCTTAGGAGAATTATAATTTGAGAAATTAGTAAAGCTGGCGAATTTCGATCGACTAAATAAAACTTACAATGTTTATCATCGGAACTAGATAGTTAAGAGCATTAGTGAAATGTTTTTATAGTATCACAACGGGACCCTGGCCTAAGTAGGATCGTAATAATAATCATGCTATTGCTTTCTTTGTATGAACATTTCCTGAAGCATTAGAGAATGTTTTCTTATTCAAAATCTTCATAAATACATATTATTATATAAATTAAAATTAAATAAAAATTTAAAAAAAAGGGCCATTGTGGTTAACTATGAATCAAAGAGTTAAATATCAATTACCATCCGGAAATTATTCCATATTTGTTGGCAATAAGTTATTGTACTTTAAACGCTGATAACGATCACATCTATATAATACTGAAGTTATTCGTATGTTACTCTGATGAATTACCCATTCCTGGGTTAACTGGCTTATGTTGTTTTTCTTAAAAAAAAGATATATTTCAGTGTGGGTTGTAAGGCTGAGTTAGCCGCTTTAGAATTAACTTAATATTAATAATTACTTGCAATTGTAGTTAATAGTATTGAAATAATCAATATTCTGGATAGCTGATAGGCATGTTTGTGTACTTCAACTTTCTATATAATATTTAACGATTGATATCAGAAAAGTTTTTTAGTCATTTTTTAATTATCTTAATATAAAAAATAGTTCATGTTTATGACTCATTAAAGTTTAATGTCAACAGTTGTTTGTTGAAATATTTTTCCAACAATTTATTATAACTAAAAAATACCAATTGAATTATTTTTTTATATTAAACGATAAAAAATTTATTTTATTTGATTAATAGTGTATATATTTATTATTCTAAGTTCACAACCAGGTACTGAAAACATAATGGAAAATTTCCGAGAATGAAATTAAATAATTTTCGCACGTGGCAAATAAATTAAAATTACTAATATCTTTTTATCAATTTATTCTATTTGCTATTAATAATTGTTTTTCCATTCAAATTATCGTAAAAAAAGTTAGGATCTCACTAGATGGTAATTAAATAAATTAAAATATTTATTACTGAAATGTATTTAATAATAAGTTTTTTCTTGATAATGCATCTACATATATTATATATTTTGTAATACTATATAGTATTGTTAAAATATTTTATAAAAGTTACTAGATTTTTATTATATTGATAGTTAATAATTTCATTTTCATATAATTAAAGACTGTTATTTTTTCAGTTATAAATTTATTAATTGATTAGTTAGTAATTTGTTTCTAATGACTGCTTGGAACATGTTATTAACAAACAGGTATATTTATTTAAAATATTAAAATATACCTTATCTAAAACTCATTTAAAAAAAGCTTAATTTTAGTATCAAATGCTTAATCGGTTTTTTCTTACAGCAGCAAAAAATGGGATTCCAAATTAAAAATTAGTCGACTAAGCCCATAAAATATTTTTTGGATGCCAAACTTATCGCACACACTTGACTATATATTGTTATATAGCAAAATTTCATTTGTTTAATACTATTAAAAGAATAACTCTTTCATTACTTTTATTATAATTTAAGTAAACATGAAATTTAATCAAATGAAAGATATATTAAATTATAAAAATTTATAAAAATATATTTTTGAACCTAAAATTCATTTATCAGCTCGCATTTTCTTTTCTCGTTACAGATTTTAAACCAATAATTTTAATGAAATTGTCTATTGGTGGTCTATAACCACAAAATACAACACTAAAGACTATTAAATAATTTCCGGTCTTTGATACGGAAGTGAAGAAGAAAATATTTAAACTGTTTTACGCGGAAGGGAATGGTATATTTCTTGGGGGACTGGGGCATGGGAGATTCTGACTGTGCGTCATACCATCAACATGTTCCAAATATACAACAAAGTATACATCGTCATCATGTGCAACATGAACCTCAACAATTACAGCAACAACAACAGCAACAGCGAGACCAACAATTGCTGCAACAACATCAACAACATGTTGGACAAATCGCACCAACTTTAGAACAATTATCATCATCTATCCAATTTGCAAATAGCAATAATCTTAACACAACAACATTTCTAACTGGTAATGTTGGTAATATAAATTTAACTTCAACAACATTTTCACATCAACAGCAATACACATCGCCACAACATGTTGCCAGCAGCTCATTAGTAACAGCCAATTTACAACAATTATCAGTAAGCAGCAATAATAACAGTAACTGTGCTACGCCAATCAAAACTGCAACAACATTACAAGTTACTGGTGATAAATCACTAATAACACAGCAACAACAACAACAACAACAACAACATCAACAACAGCAGCAGCAGCAACAACAATTAGCAACTGCCGCTGCTGAATTATTACAGTATTTGGGTAGACAACGTTCAGTATCATTAGCTGGTAATGCTAGTGCATCTGAGTCCTTTCATAAGACCATTACTCCATTATTGGGTGCCGCTGCAGCAGCTACACCTCAAACACAATTAAGCAGAGATCTTTTGGATAATGAAGATGAAGTCGCATTGCAACCATTGTCTAATCAGGTAATTGAAGGATTTAATATTTTTATTTAAGAATTAATAGTTGTAGTTCGGACTCATTATTGTAAAAAAGTGTATCGCGATAAATTTCTATACTAAAATAACCGTTCTGAGATTTTAATAGGTTATGGTTTTTGATATATTTATATATATACCATATTTATATATATGTTATATATATGTGTATACTAAAACAATTTTTTTATGTACTTATTTTACAATACTTATAGGTTTGCCTACTTATATTATATACTCATTAATTTTAGTTTTTCCGCAATTTCTTATTAATATATATAATTTATTTTTATAACAAATAAATGACTATTCAAAAAGCTTAAATTTATACGGGTGCCCCTAACTTATAATTCTTCCTCGAAATAAGGTCAATGGTTTTCTGATATCATTATTCACTTGATTTCCTGTGTACTTATTGTACTGCGTAAAATCTTCCATTATATATATATTTTTTTTTTCTGTAGCCAAAATTACTCTATTCAACAATATACTTGAACTTGAGATGTACTAAAATAATTATAATATACATATATATATATAAATTATTTTTATTTAAAATTTAAAAAGCATTTTTTTTTTGAAAATAATTTCGAAATAGTTAAAAACATAATTTTAAATTATTTTAAAATTTGCAAATAACAAAAACAAATTTGCTGATTCATATTTAAAGTAAATAAATACAGAATAATAATAATATTTAATACGTACATATATATATAAAGAATAATATATATATTTGTTTTGCAATATGTTTGTTTTTTTTAAATTTTGTGTTATTTTTTTAGAAGACTTTAAATAGATTCCGCAATACCGTCATAATTATCTTCATAATTTGGCATGATACGTAAAAGTTAGCTTTGGCCTACATAATAAGTTACCTACTTCCGTATAGATTTTTCATTCATAGAGACTCTTCAGTTTTTAGTGCCCATCTTCTTTACATCTGTTCTATTTTTGAAGAAAGAACTCCGATAAGTCGAAACTAATCAAAAATCAGTTTCTCAATATTGTCTTTTAATCAAATTTATTTGATGTATTTTCCAAACAATCACAAATATTCCTCGATTTTTATTTAATTCTTTTATGCCTTATATCTTTATTCTCTTATTTATTTCGTTTTAGTAAATATATATTCTCCTTTTAAAAAATACCTACCCAGTAAACTATTGTAGATTATAATAAATAATACATCAATTGAATAGTGACAACAATTTACGCCTTGGTCTGTGATCGGCATATGGTATATATAAGTATATTCTATATATGTGTAGTATATTTCTAATCAATCAAATGAATTACTATTTTCTGATTCTAATTTACAATTTACTTATATTTTTTATACAATTTACACATTAATCAAAATTTTCCGTGAACCGAACTTTGTACTTAAATCATATGTTAATATTCATACATTATTATTTATTGGAAAGGTGTCATTCGTTAAGTATTAAGTTCAATATACTTCGCTAATGAACTAATTGGAATTACAAATATTATTATTAATTTAAAATGAATTTGAGAAAAAATTTAAAAAAAACAATGTTTTTTTGAAAAATATTATTGTTTATTTGAGAACTAATATAATCAGCAGTTTTTTTGCTGTATTCCGTTGAATGAACTATATATTACAAAATTCATATTAATCAGCCAATTATAGTAGTTTTTAATTTTTTTTTTACTGAATTTAATCAGTAAAATTTTGCCACTATATTCTAGAAGAAGCAAATAATATAATATCAATATGAATTTTGATATTTCCCTTAGACTTAAGAAAAAACTTTCGTTTTATATATAATATAATCAGTAAACTGCCTAGTAACTAGATAATAAAACTAAAGTATAATGTGTTAATATATTTTTATTATCTACATAGTTTCGACATCTCAGAACTACATATAGCATGAAATGAAATAAATCTCGGTAGTGATTACTTAATGCCCAAAACGTAAAAAATCTTAGAAGATAGTGATACAATTCTCAGTATTAACCAATGTGGAAATAAATTACCCTCTATAACTTTTTAATCAATAAATTTCTCACTATATCTAAGACTATATAACTTGCTTTTCTATCTCAATTAATATGGAAAATACGTAGGTTTTAAATTAAATGCACGGTACTCTTTACTTTATCACCATATAAATGGTATTCTCATATAGGACCTCTTTTTTTTTAAAAAATTTCTTCAGTCATGCTTGTAGTGGGTATGTGATCCATTATTATCTTAATGATAAAGACCTGTGTTCCCAATGCTACACTTACATGATTTACTTTCGCATGGAAAGTAACTGCGCTATACCAAATGGGTTTGAAACTCCTGGTAACTTTTAAGGGTGTTCCTCAAACATCCTTCTTTTCCTCTTTTATACTTTTACTTATGTTTTGAAGGTTTTCCCAATCAACATTGTGCTACATAGTCAGCGAGAAAATTAGAACATTAAGAGAATTCATTGAAATTAGGGTAATCATCCTCTAGTAAATCACAACAACTTATAAATATTTTAAAAATTAAAAACTTTTTTTGTTTTGAATTACAGGTGGGAGGACACACCCGTTTACTCCTGCTCAATCAGTCTACAGTGATAAAACCATTGAATTTGCGTGAATTGGACTTCTATCAAAACATTCCGCAAGATATACAGAAGTTTGTTCCTAAATACAAAGGTAAGATACCGACCTTTTTCCCACTATCTTAGCATTTTTTGCATTATTTATACTTAAAATCATTTGAAATGTTGATGCCTAGCGAGAAGATCAATTTAAATAAATTCAAAAAAAAAAAAGATGAGAAGAAGATCAAAAAAGTGAGATATCCCGTCGAAGCATCATTATTTTCAAAAATCATGCATATTTATTTTAAATGTTTCAAAAATGTCATTGCTTTACCGATACTAAAAGTAAATGTACAATTAAAAAATAAAATTAAAATAAAAATAATGCTTAATTGAAGAAAAAATACTTAAAAATTAAAAAATATTTATCCACAACACATTTAAAAAATGTTTTGTATGCTAAAATCTATGCCTCACAATTTTTTCATGCAAGTCCTTATTTTTGTGTTTTGTTCCTATCTTTTGTTTCATTTTAGCTATGTTTTTTCTAATATAATTAGTTGTAACAAAAAAAAAAATAATAATAATAATTATATATATATATAGTGATATATGAAATGTGATATTTATTAATTTATTTGTAAGTAGTTAGTTTTAGTTTTTAAGTTCTGTGATATACATTTTAAAATAAAATTAAAAAAGAAAAATAAAAAACGAAAGAAAAGTAATAATTTTAATTAATTATATTTTTTCACATGTAAATTATATATTCTAAGTTATATTAACTAATGTAAAAATAAAAAAAAAATGTATAAAAAATGAGCTGAACTCAAATGTCTGCGCACTTAGTTGAATTTGATAGTAGTTTTCTTATAATAAAACTGAAATATATTGAATTTTTTTAAAATAATAAATGTTGAATACATTTACACATTTTAAGAAACTATACTCAATAACCTATTCTGCTCAGCTGTGTTATATATAAATTACATTATTATATATAACATGATTATGTTAATGTTACCTCCATCAAATAATTATGAGGTGAACTATGTCCATCTTCTTCTTTCTTCTTTAATTGTTTAGTCTAAAATTGAATGTTACACAATCATATAAATACAATATGTTAGAAATAATGTTTTTAAAGTTCTATCTGTCTCTAGCCATATGCACCAAGTCTCCATTCTTAACCCAGTCCAGTGTTAGATGTTTCTCAGCCAAGACATTGCGTTTGCCTTCGATTCTGCCTTCCACAATCAGTTGCAGCAATTCATATTTTGGACCTCGGATGATATGACAAAAATACTTTTGATAGTTTTTAGGAGTTCTCTATCTTTTCTATCTTATCTTGTTAGGACTTCTTCATTCGAAACTTTGTCCGTCCAAGGAATCTTCAGAATACGTCTATAGCACCACATTTCAAACGCTTCGATTTTGTTCATTGTTAGAATTTTTAAAGTCCAAGATTACAAGCCATAGAGTAGAATGAACCAGACGTAGCATTTAACATTTAACGTAGCGGATGTTGATATTGCTACTGCATACCACTCTTTTGCATTTGAGGAAAGAGTTTCTAGCCATCTCTATTTCTTGATCTGATGTCCACTCTTCATCACTTTCAATTAAAGTTCGTTAACTTTTTTCATGGTGATATTTGTTGTAATAAGTGCCATTTATTGTAATAAGCGCCATTTATTGTAATAAGTGCCATTTATTGTAATAAGTGTCATTTATTGTAATAAGTGTCATTTATTGTAGTAAGGGTCATTTATTTTAATAAGTTGTGATTAAAACAATCAAATTATAATACTGATTTTATTACAAATAATATATCTATTTTACATTAAATATATAAGATAATCCAGAAAATTGAATAGCTTCTGTAAGACCAATTTTATTTAATGGAATAAAATTAAGAGGAATAATACAATTACACTCTTCTCCTATTGAGCGCACCATTTTTAAAATGAATATCGCTTCCTTTGGAGACTCAGCCCCTTCTGTTTTAAAATGAGTAAATAATAACTTTAGACTTTCTATAAGTAGGATATTGTATACTAGCTAAAATGGTATATAACTTTATTATATGTATTTCAAATGTTGTGAATAGCCAAATCCCTTGAACTGATATTACATTCATAGTGGACATTAGTATAGCATGTGTATCGAGTTCATTTAATTTTGGATTTCCTTGAATAATAAATGAATGCAGTGTTATCATTCTAGAGACGTTATACAAACCAATTTCGACAATAAAATCATAATAAAAATATCTTTGAACGTTAGCTAATCAAGCTACTAAAATTCATGACTTTTTTTAGTAACTAGAGTTGCAGAAACCTTTGAATTGGTAGACCCAATTATTAAAATTATAGAATTTCAGAAATCTAATTGACCAAGTTTTTGTGTATAATAGTCCATATAGTCTAGTAGATAGATGCTTAAACAGTTCAATTAATTTTGTGAATACATTGTATTTGTAATATACCTATATATGAGAATTTCGATAATACGAACTTTTCATTATGCCACTTCCTTAGACTTTAGACTGTTGCTTTAAGCGATTGAGTTTATTAGTACGGCTAGGTAAAAATTCCATATTGTGAGGTTTTTTATGAGTGTTAGAACAAATTTCAGTTTATGATTTCTGTTGTGCTGAGAGGTGTTGTAAAAGAAAATAACTGTTGTCTTCTTTAAACAAATCTTAAATGTCTTTACGAAACCACTATAAAGTCACTGCTACAAAGCAACATTTACTAACAAACTAAACAAAATACGAGTATATATGAGTACATACGAGTATACATGAGTATATATGAGTATATACGAGTATATATGAGTTCATACGAGTATATATAGGTATATACGAGTATATATCGCCAAATAATCAAAAAAAAAGAAAAACTTTTTGTTGCTGTATTGGAGACATGGATTAGATTGTTAATGATTTGTAATTTTAATATACAAGTCAAGTATTTTGCACTGAAAGTAAAAAAGTGATATTATTAAAAATTTTTTATTGTGTATGTGAAAAGTGCTGAATTAAGTTGACTTTGTACTTAAACGGTAAGTGTAATTATACTGAAAAAAAATGCTAAGAAACTACACTTTGCTTCCATGTAATACAAAATGGAACTTGTGTCAAATAGATTTTATTTGCAATATAAATTAAAACATTAATAGTGAATAAAATCAATTTATTAATATTATACTAAAAAGGTAGTAAAAATTTTGTTTCATACCTACGAATAATATTTGTCAGGTACTGAATAAGAAGTTTAGCTTCTTTTTAGGTGCATGTTTGCCTAAAGGTTCGAACTTAGCCTATAGCTGATTTGTCTGCTCGTGCCTTTGGGATTGCTTGCTAGTACACACACAAACCGAAACATTTAAACGAATCTAAACCAATGGTTAGTACTGGAACTCAAGGTCAATACCATACATATGTCAAAAAGTAAAATAGTAAATTTGATTTGTACATTTTAATAATTTATATATAAATTATGTATGTACGTATTTTAAAAACCTACAAAATATAGCACAAATATTAGTTTATATTTTATATATATATATTATAATTCAGAATGCGCCCACGTCGTTTATCGTCGTACATCGAGGACGCACTTTACTACTTCAGTTCCATACAATAAAATTAGTCTGAATCTGTGTATGACTCAGACCCCAGTATCATTCTCAGACGCGCTCATAGATGAAACTCAATAGCAAATCATATGCATGCAAAATGGGTTTGTATAAAAATTTATATACACTTATATATATATATATAAATATATTATATATTATATATATTATAATAACTATGTTATAATGAGTTGAAGAATATTTTTTTATAAGTTTGAAAAATAATTTGAATTAAACAACTAAATAGGTCTATACTAAAATTGTAGTGTTAATTATTTACTTCTATTTTACTACAATTTTTTTAAAAATTAAGCAGACATTTTTAATTTATCAACTGAACTATATTTTTATTTTTTTTTTGTTTTTTAACTTATTCTAATATACAGAGGAATTTACTATAAAATTAAATCAAATTTAGACTAAATGATTTATAGTAAGAATATAAATTCCGCTTTTATGAATACATAATTATGTATAAAATTTCATGTACTCATCTGTGGACTGTTAAAATTCCAAAAAATTAATATTTTTCCACTTCATTTTAAAGTCTACAACCATCAAATTTTTACATATACCAACATTCCGTACAAATTACTTAATCAATCGCATACCAATCTTTATATTAAATTTTTGAACAATCATCCAAATAATTGCATATATGCCATATATATTAACATTAAGTTTAAGTCTTCACATACATATTGTATATTAAATAAGTGCCTCTTGTTTGTCCAGACGTCATATTATAAATCAATTGACATTCAATCTCAATCAAACTTTAAAATAAAAATATCTTTTAACTTAGTTCGTTTTAATGCAACTCTCTGATATTCTAATTCCAGGCGTTATGCAAGCTACAAGTATGGGTGGCGCAAAATTGGATAAACGTTATTCCCCAAGTTTTCGTGAAGAGCAGCCCGTAAGAAAAATGAGCGCTTCCAAACGCAAAAGGGATGATGTCTTAAGGTGTGTATTTCAAAATGATAAATATTAAATATTCCTCTGAATTAGGAAAATTATTAAAATAGTTTCCTTCTTTTCCTAATATCATCTTACGTATCTTATTATAAAAGAATAGAAGAAATGAATTTTATTTTTGTTTTAGATTTTTTGATTGTTTTATGGGAGAGATATGCCAATTGAAAAAAAAAATTGTATAGACCTAAATTTGACCAAACTGGGTATGAAAAAATGTTATATAAATATTTTATATACTTTGTAGAATATATTATATGAGAAAACAAAATCTATTCAAAATTAATAGTCGAAATGCACTACATCTATACTTAAGGGCATAATATATAAATTATAGAATCATTTATATTAACCGAATTGTTAACGAAAAGTATTATTAATTTAATCATAGCCTTTCAAGGGCTATATATATTAAGTTTAATTTTTATTCAAAAATTTTTCCATCTGTTGATTTATAAATAGAATGTGTTACAGGAAATACTTCATTAAGAGTAATATTAAAAATTATCAAACAATTTCAGATGCAACCCTGAGTTTAAAACATGTTCAATTAAATTATTAAACATGTTAATCACTTTTATTATTTAAAAATTTATGATTTATATTTAAACTAATTACGAATTTGAAAACTTTGTATTGAAGTGTTCTATTTATAAATGTAGCCATTATAAGGGTATGAAATATACATTTCTAAGCCACTTGGACATTCTAGCTTTTATTAAGAATGCATCTCTTTTTCTGTTTCTAATATCTCTTGTTTTTTAACATAACCTGTAACTACGAATATAATTCATGGAATAATATTGAAATTGAAGAAAGTAATAACTATTGCGGATTAATTTTCTAATTCTTCCCAATCAAATTCACCTGCTGATGTATTTATATTAAAGATAATGGATTTGTGATTGAATCCGACAAGTATAAGTATTTTGTGGATGTAGTGCATTTAAAGTAAAAAATAATCCTCTGCAATATTTTTTTTAGGCCAAGATTTCAAATACTCTCCCCCAATCCTCCGATTATTATTGAACCTTATCTAACATAAGCTGAAGGCCACACTTACAAAAAATCATTTTTTCGCAAAAAAATTTTTGCGTTTGTTTACATATATATATAAATAAAATAAAATTAAATTTAAATAATTAATCTTCTATTTTTTGTTTTATTTTTCAGGATGAAAGTTCATAAAAACGGAAATGCTGCTGATGTTATTAAGAGTATTTCACAAATAGATAACTCCAATAAGCAATGTTAGTATCATTCACTTCTCGCAGAAGTCAAAATAATCTCCTCATTTATGCTTATTTCTTAAAGCAAACATTCAGATTTTCATCTAATCTAATTCTTTAACATATGATCCTTTTTTTAAATGCATGAGTTAAATAGAGATTTAGGAAATGTGTGTGTGTATAGGTATATTTCCTAGAAGATGTGAGAAACGAATATGACTTGAAAGTAATTTGTACGTTTATTTTATATAAATCTGAATTGATAGAGAAACGATCACTACCACAATAGAAAATTTAATATATTAATCATTTTAATTAATAATATGTTGGTTCCGTGATCAATGTCAAAGATAAGAGTTTAGTAATAAATTTTATAAGATTTTAAAAAATGCTTATATTCACTTGGAAAAAAAATTACAGTTATAAACTTAATATCAATAGGATCAAAAGCATACTTCAATCTTAAAGTTCTAGATCCCTGTTTATAAAAATATTTATGATTATATATAAAATTTTCTTAAGGAATTAAGGTAACTTAACATTTCATATAACTTGCAAAAAGTAATTATAGAGACCTACTCTTACAGCAAAATAATTATTACATAAATAATAATATAAAATTCTTATTTCATTATATTTACAGATTTTTTGATGCTCGAAAATATAACATCGCAGTTTCGGAATCCCTGTATACTGGATTTAAAAATGGGTACACGCCAACATGGAGATGATGCTTCAGCGGAAAAACGTTCAAAGCAAATGGCGAAATGTGCGGCTAGTACATCAGCTTCGCTAGGTGTGAGATTGTGCGGTATGCAGACCTATCAAGCACATCTAGACCAATTTGCAAAACGTGATAAATATTGGGGTCGTGAGCTCAATGAAAGTGGCTTCAAACAGGCACTACATGACTTCTTCTATAATGGTTATCGTTTGCGTATTCGTGTCGTTAAGAAAATTGTACAACGTTTACTGCAATTGAGACACGTTATAGAGAAGCAATCTAGTTTCAGATTTTACTCTTGGTAAATAACAGTTTTTAAAATTAAAACGTTAACTTCAATAGACTTATTTAATAATTTCTTCTACAGCTCCCTATTATTAGTATATGAAGGATTTGAAGAGAATCCCATGGAACATCCAATGGATATTGAAGATTGGCTTATACCAACTGCACCAGCTATGTCTACAAAATCTGCCACTTTTGACTACCATCCCGATAACAGTATGGATGAAGATGATGATATAGAAGATGACGAGGCGGTATTGGAAGATGAGTATTGTCAGAATACAGCAAATCAATGCACTGATAGTGTTGATACTCATGACCATACCGCTGATGAAGATTTACATTTAGTTGCAGCTGATAGCGGTAATGCTTCAGCTACTAATAGCAGTACTGGTGGTGATCATTGCTGCTACGATGCAGATGCTTCAAATGACTCAACTACAGAATTGAATCTCACACGCCGCACTCACCAACGGAATACTACAAATCTGCAAAATATTGATAATAAATATCATCCCGGCTTTGCGGAAGCAACAGAAAGAGGTGTTAAAAATGCGATAACACCAAGCACATCAATATCCGATGCTGAAGATGAGTCCAATGTAATGACAGAAATCGATTGCTTAGCAATGCCACCACCAAATACAGCTCTGTCTAACACATTTAATAATACAAATACAAATACAAATACAAATACAAATACAAATACAAATACCACTCCTGCATTCATTCCAATATCTGAAGAAACAGTATTTCTCGATCCTGAACCACCGATGCCAAGCATTTCGACGTCATCACCGCATTCAGGAGATTCATGGATGAATTACAGCAGTAACAGCAGCGATGATTTTTCTGGTTTATCAGAACAAATCAAAGCGGTGACGAGTGGACGACAAACCGGTAAGTAATACAGAGTATAAATTTTGAATGCTGATAATCAATTATTTAAAACTTAAAGGTAATAACAGCTCTGATGAAGCCAGTTCCGATTATGAGAGCAGCATTATAGGACAAACTGAAGCCATGTTTAAACGCTACAAATCTCAACAATCTCAACAGGATTCATTCGATACAACTGCGCCAACGCCAGAAACGCCAGCAAGTGTGACATCGCCATTACCACACAATGTAAAACTGAATACAGTACCTACGACAATCTCTCCTGCTTCGTCCACTACTTCTTCATTGAAATCTGTAAAAGCAGCTGTTAAGCGATTGCGATGTAAAGATGGTGATGAATATGATGAAAGTGGTGCAATGGCTCACAAAGATACTTCATCTTTAGCAAAAAAATCAACAACAACTGCAACTGCTTGTGGTAGCGCCGTTACAAGAGCATCCACACCTGTTTCTGTAGTAACATCGCCAACTAAAAGTTCCACACCAACTTTAGCAGAGGAAGAAAAAATTAAAAATTCAATATTGGCTGGCTTATTGAGAGAATCATTAGAACGCACCAAGCAGGAAGAAAAAGCCAATCAGAATAATATCACAAATAAAATTACCAGCCATGTAAGCAATCAAACAAGCAATAACCCTTCAACACAACGTATGTTACTGCAAGTATCATCAAAATCATTTGATATCTCAACCTGCACTGCCAGCTACAATACCGTTAGTGACGATGCCCGTTGTCCTGTAGATGTACGCTTAATAGATTTTGCCCATACTGCTTTCGTACCGCGTAATGGTAACGGTTTGCTGCCAGCAACTGCAACTGCTCCGGTACACCATGGGCCAGATGGTGGTTTTTTGACAGGCCTAGATAGCCTAAATCGTTTATTAAATGAAATTTTACAAGAAGAGCTGCCATAAATATTTGAAAAAAGCATAAAAAACGAATATTAATAGAAGTTAGGGCTATATAAATTTGAAGTAAATAAAATTACTTGTGTCTAAAGTAAATAAGCAATAGTTATTGAATCGAACTAAGGTTCATTCTGCATTACTGCATTATTGCTTTACTGCGTTACATGAAATGATGTAAAAGCGAATTTACTTTTTTACAGGATGTGGCAACTTGTGATAATACAAAAATGGCTTGACAAACCTAACCAAATGAAAATATTGCAAAACCCAATAAATTAAGGCTTAAAATAATGTATATGCCACTCAGAAAGTACAAAATAACATAAAGCTTATAGTAATTAAAATATTAAAATTAATTTAACATTAAGAATATGTACGAAATACATGCTGATGATCTATGTATATAGAAATTCGAACTTCAATGGAATAAGTTCGTCTTTTGAAATTCTATGCTATGTACTTTGAATACTTGCGAAATCATGTATACGTCCTTAAATAAAACTTTGTCATGTGAAATAGCTATATAATTAATATTCTCAGTGACTTATAAAATTGTTATTTTACTGAAATATTTTGAAAAATATATGGACGGACAAGATAAAATATTTAAACAAATTGAAGCAACATAAAGGATAATAGAACCGATAATTGTGTGAAAGTATAGAATAAAGTATGCTAACCGAAAAGAAATAAAGTTGTTGTATGGCGGGCCTTCCGTTCTATTTTCCTACGTGATTGTTTCCGAGTTCACTTTCTGTTATTAACAGATACTAAACTAAGCAGAGAAGTATTTAATTGTCGAGGAATTCGATTATTCGGTATTCACGCTATACAGGTGAAGTTTGAGAAGTGAGCTAAGTGTGTTGCTTTGATACAAATATAGGTAAAACAAGATGCTTCTAAGGAGGTTCTAAATTTGATAATGATGAAAATAATTTTAACGGATGAAAGATGTTTTCATAAAACGTATAAAAACGTAAAAACGTATAGGGACTACAATTTTTAATCAACAAATGCATTACAGGTGATTCATAATTGTTTTACAGAATTTAAAACAAAAATTAGAAATTTCGTTAGCAAACAGCAAACAGCAAATGCTAAAATAAATTATAATTAAATATTTGTAAACATAAATGTACCTTTTAATATACAAATTATGAATATAAAAAAGAGAAACTTTATGTAAGGAAATAATTGTAATTGTGAACATTTCTTCCAAAATGTATAAATCATAAACAATAAATTTATTATAATTTATCAACAGATTTGCAAATAACATAAGCATTTTTATATAGTTTTTGATTTTAAATTTCAATGATCGTGATATATAATTTTAAATTTAACAAATGAAAAAACAAAAAATTATTATTTAAAAAATTTATAATTACAAAAATAAAATATGTACAAAATTAAAATAATTAATAAAGCTGTATAAGCACAACCGGATTCTTTGTTATAACTGCTATTCCTAACCAGCACATTTTTATTATTAAAAGAAATTCATGCTGGCTGGCTGTAAAATCGTGGCAGGAAAGTTATAACAACAAAGGCTGTGCATATCGGTAATTGATTTCTCCTTTAACAATTTATTGATTAAAAATGAAAACAACAAAAATTAATATATGTAAAATTTATACAACACAAAACTATATTATAATGTATTTATAGTCAAAGAGATTGATAACGCTTTTTCATTGCGTAAACGACAGTATTTTTGGCTAATTTTTAGTTTAATATGTATGTTAATACTATTAATAATATTATTAATAATAAAAATAAAAAATTATTAATTAAAAATGTAAAACTGTTTCCTTATTTAGTTTTTTGTAAATTTTAAAGAAAAACAAAAACAAAAAATAATTATTTAAAATAATTCCAATATTCAAAAGCAATTGTACCTTTTACTTTTGAGACTAAGAAGCAAATAATTGATTGATGTTAGAACAAATTAAAAATGTTAGTTTTAATTACATAAAATTATAATTATAATCTAGAAATTGAACAATTATAAATTGATTTCAAAACATATTTGGTATTGTATATAGAAAAACTAAAATTTAAAATGCTTTTGAAGACCAATAAGAATTTTTCAAAATAAAATTAACTTAGTATTAAAGTGTTTAAAAATAAATATGTTTAAGAAATATAATGTTAAAAATAAAAAAAAAAATATGATTATATTGAAAATATAAAATGCTGAGATTTCAAATAATTAAAATATATCCTGGTTTAATATAAAATTTGTACCTATTTACTGAAGTGAAGTTCTATTAAGTCACAAATGGGTCAAATTTGTACGGTTTTTACACAATTACAAACATCACTCGTAAGCGAGTTAAGGAAAACATCTTATTGTCATATAAATCGGATTATAATATTTAACGGTTATGAATCAAATTTAATTATTTTCTAAATGAAGTAAATTAATTTTTTATTTCCATCCCAGTCACAAGACCAGAGTAGCCTAAATAAAAATTATAATTTAAAAAAACAAAACGTACTGGTCAAAAAACCTCATTATTAATTATTTCCTTTTGATATTCAATTAAAATAACAACATATATCCGAAAAAATAAGCAAGAAATTTAATAAATAAGTTTAAATTAAACTGAAAAAGAAAGAATTCACGGATTTATAAATGTTATGTTGTTACAAAATCAAATGTGAATTTACTTTTAAAATAAAATAATTTACTTTTGATAATATCGTTATGAGTCGCACTATTTGGTTTTAAGCAAACTTTAAACGCAGTCATAATAAAATTATTTTATAATATTATTTTTTAATCTAAATTAATAAATTCTACATTGAAATACATTTAAATTATTTTTATATACCTTCTTTAGCATATTTATCAAATATATTTTCTCATTTTTATACATATTTATTGAGTCATTCTTCAATCATAACATCATTTCAAACTATCTGTTCGCCATAATATGTACATATATATTCAAAAAATTTAAAAACAGAATTTTTCGAATTTACAAAAGCAATATAGTGTATGAGCACCAATAAATTTTATTGCCATAATGTCAGCATTTTATATATATCATTCTCGTTGCTATTAGTTATAAATCGTTAATATTCAAAATTAATTAAATTCAAAAGGTTAACAAAATTAATGATTAGTGGGAAGTACGAGTATATAGGATTACAAAATGTATATTTCCATACATATTTATAAGTTTACAATGTTTTTGACTTTATTAATAATATAACGAAAAAACAAGTTAAAATATAAATTGCAATAAAAATTAATAAAAAAAAAATATTAAATTGTGCGTTTTACATTTTCTTATCTTAACTTTAACTTTTATAAAGACACTACATAAATTTCATATATGTTAGGTTAGGTTATACCGGCAAACCCAAGAGGATCTACTTACGCCTTTAAGCCCATTGTGCTAGTGTAAAATTCAAGAGTTAAAACCATTTAGAACCTTTGACAAAGCTTATGATGTAATTCAAAAGAAGGTCCTGAAGGTCGCCAAGATCCTCAGAAAAGAAAGCCTCTAAAGTGTTAAGGCGGTGCCGTACATGTGCCAGACATTAGCAAAGCAGGTAAATTACATATTATTATCGGAGATTGGAGATTGTGGTTGTATCTGGAATATGAAAGTGAAAGTTCAGAATGATTTCTAAATTATATAAGCTAATTAAAAAATTATTTGCATTAATCAATATGTTCACATTATAATAAATTCTGTATTATCCATTGAAATAGTGTAATATCGATAAAAATAAAACTTAATTCTTTGAGAAGGGAAGAAGGGAATTTGTGATGTATTTTAGCAAGAATGTTTATCTATTCATTCCTTGAAAGTTTACAAAAAGGACGATATTCTTGTTTGTTAAAATTAATTTTATTAAAATTAAAATTAATATTTATTAATTAATTTTTTAACTTTATTTCGTTAGTGATAGGCACCTAACTGTTTAGCAGAAAAACGAGTTACGAATTTGAGCTCAACAGATACAAATTAAATTAAAATCGTTGAAAATTTAAAAAAAAAATTAAGAAAATTAATTCATTTTTACCGCATGGTGTGAATCCATTTGATATTAAAATACTATATGTAAAAATATCTAAATATTAAACTTTGCTTTAGTAGTTTAAACGCATTTAAAAAATAAATCAAATAGTTCAAAAATGGAATAGTTATAGAAATCTAAATAAAAAAGTTAAAAATAATCTATATATGCAAGTACTTTAAATGTGCTTTAATTAAAAAATTAGAACAATTGTTTATTTGTAAAACAATTATATATTAATATGTAATATTATTAATGTAATATTAATGTAATATTATATTATATATATATATATTATATAATATATATATGTATTATACCATTTATATATTTATTAATGTATAAAATGAGAATTTATTTGAAACAGATTATTTTGATACTGAGAGCATAAAAATTGTTACTTTATGAAAAGTAGCGTACATAATAATTAGAATCAATTATAATACCACCAAAAATCCTAAGTTAATAATATTGTACACCTGTTTTTCCATCATATACATTAGTACATACATAATTTAATAAAACAATATATCGTATTATTTTTATATTAGCTAAACATTTTAAGTTTAAAATTTTTATATATTTACTTTTCCTAAACGATTTTTTCGTATCCTAATTATTAATGATTTATTATATCAAATTTAATTTAAACGACGATGAAACTTCTACCAGCCGCTGTACACTTAACATTCCTGTTGTTAAAGTCAAAAAATGTCAATGTCAGCTGTTTACCGTATATACATTGCCAAATATCATTTTGTGATTTTTAACATTTCGAGGTAAATAATGTATTTTGTTTAATATAATTTTTAAACACATTTTCTTAAGAAATTAGAAATCGTATAAACAAGTTACCGTGAAAATGTTTAGATTTAGTCTCTGTTTATAATTTAATATCAAAAACTTAAAAAATTATATAATATGTGAGGTTATAGCAAGCCTGAAAGCGTCAACAATTCCATTTTGAAATTAAAGCAAGTGATTAAAAAAATATCCAAGAAAGTGTATGCTTATTTTTAAGAATCTATTAATTCCATAATTAAGTAATACCAATATTCAGCCATTCGTATTAAAAAACATTTTTACAACAAAGTGGTTATATTAAAGTGTTATTCGTATAACTATTTAACAATATATAAGCAATACAAAGCAAATATTAAAAACTATATATAGTAACAAGTTTTTATGATTTTGGTTCACTAATTAATGTTTTGAATTACCGCTGCAGTAGACAATTACTAAGCTCTCCAGGTTAACTCTCAAATCATATAGAGAAAAGATTAAAATATTTTTCACTATCACTTTTCACTCTGAAGCATTTAGCAACTTTGGCTTAGTTACTTAGATTAAGATAGCAAAACTATTGTCTGCCCATGAAGTAAAATGTTTATATTGATACATTTCAGTGATTAGAAATCAAGAAATTTTTAGATCTGGGTTTTGAGAAACCCAAACATCTATTGCAATTCCAAGCTACTAATGTAAATTTATTGAAATTCAAGATATCCCCAAAATTTCGTGCAACAGTCCCATTATAATATAATAAATAATTTTTTACAATATTTATGAAAATTGAGTTTTATACGTTTGTTAAAAACTAGACACTAATTTTTGTTCATCGATTAAATTATTGGGATTTGATCATTTAAAATATTTTTTTATACTAATTTCTTAATACTTTCATATTCACACAGATAAAACATGGGTGGACACGGACATGGTGAACCTTACAAAGTACCTCACCCATCTGTCTTTAAAGTGGAAAATTCTTGGCAATTAAAACAAGTGCAAGAGGCTTTAGCTCGTCAAGGATTATGTGACCCTTGGTTAAGGTAAAATTAACAATTTAATTTTGAGGTGCAAGTATAGATATATGAATGTCTGTTCTTTTAGAAATGAGGTCTGGCGTTATGATGAGAAACAATGGGGTAAAGGCCCAGGTACTCGTTTTGGTCGCTTATTCTTCCGTGGTTTCATTTGGGGATTTGCAGCTTTTGTAGTCACAATTGGTGCTGAATATGCATTAGGTATGAATAAAGGTCATGGACATGGACATGGTAATGGTGATGAGCACAGTCACGAAAAGAAGGATGATGAACAGTAGAAGTAATTGCGTTGTAAATACACTTATTTACATACAAATCATTGTGATTCTTATAAACACAACTACCAATAAATACAATTAATTACTTAAAACAATAGTTGCACAGTTTTTTATTACAAAACTTTATTTGCAGCACTTGCATTAATTTCGGAAACTGTTCATTTATATTACAGAGAAATGCATTTTTTTTAGACTAAGAATCGCATAATTTATTATATGCGCGGTTTCAGTTCATCGTAACATGAACGCAAAAATATTTGTGGCTTCTTAGTTGGGTTAAAGTATTCGTGGCCCTATAAAAATAATCATTGGATATTATTTAATATTAAATCATTTAAATTTAACAAACCTTTGACCAATCGTAGCCAACAGCATAAGCAAATATTTGTCCATTTGCATTGAAACTACATTTCGTAACCGATTGATCCATTGTTTCCGATGATTTCAATTTTGTACGCGCATCTTTGTCCCAGAAACTAAATGTGCCATCAGAGCCAACTGTTACTAAAGTACCATGTACTGGATGAAATGATATGTCGTTCACAGCGAAAATATCTTGGTAGCCAGCTGTGCCTGTTGTGCGATGGCATTTGAAAGTGAAATTATCTTTGGGACTAACTGGGTTAACATATTGTATAGCTACACGACCCTCAATACTGCCTAACGCATAGCCTAGAGAAAATAGGAATTATAAAACAATTAAATTAAAATCTTTTCATAACAAAAATCAATGTGCACTTACCAGTCGGTACTTTTTTCTTATCTCTAAAAATTGATACTGTCCGATGTTGGTATTTTAGAGGACTCTCTTGTCGTTTAAATTCAGTAGGACTATTTTCCAGTGAATATACAATTAAGCCGCGACCAGCGGTACCTACGACTGCCATTGGATAATCAACATCCGCACAATAGCAACGTTCAGGCAACGCAATTGACAACATAGGATTTGCGGAGCGAGTATCCCAAAACTGAAAAGTGGAAGTGGAAGCATTAGTATGAATGCTTTATAAGATGCTTTAATATATACCTTTAAAGTCTTATCCCAAGATCCTGTCATTAGGCAAGTGTAATTTGTGCCCTTAATCCAGTGACAAGTTTTAATTGGTGCATCGTGAGCTGCTACTTGCATTACCTGATCTGATGCTAAGTCCCACATTTTAACTTGCTTATCGATTGAGGCCATAAAAACTTTTGTGCCATCATCAGACCAGCACACGTCCAGCACTGGACCCCCTAAAGTTTTCATAGATTTTGGCACTGTTTTACCCGTTTGTTCAACTTCCCAGCAGCGCACGCTACTATCCCAACTACCAGCTATCAGAAAATTCTGTTGCATTGTGACAGGACTAAATTCGAGAGCAGAAATAGAATCTTCAGGTGGTGATACAACTTCAAAATCATTCATACGATTTGTGGAAGTTGTCGCTGCTGTTGCGCCAAAAGAGGTCGTATTCCCCAAAGTCGATTGGCCGAACATTTTCGGAAATTTCTAATTTTATAATATATTAATGAAATATTTATAACACCAACTGGCTTATAACGACAAAATACTTTCTATTAATTGTAAAATAATATATTAATATTTATATGAAACTCTTTACAAAAACAACAATTGGCAATTGAAATGCCGCAAAACTGACAGCAAGGAAATGACATTTTCTATACAGCGTTTTTGACAATTCATCGAGTGCGGTCTCTGCTTTTCATTTCTTTAAACGCTGATCATGAAAAACTCAAGACTAGATGGTGCTACTAACTTTTGAAACTAAAAAATAGAGGTACAATGTCATCATTATTTATTTATTTATTATATATTTTTATACTTATTCTTTTATAAATATAACAGCATTCATCTTTAGTGTAGGAAAGGATAAATCACACATTGAAATACTATTGCACTCAATTTTACAAAGTTCATCAGAAAAGATTTTATAATTCTCTGATATTGAAATAAAATATACATAATCACCCGAA